CAATTTACTCAAGATGCATGGGCAATGGGGCCTGATCCCCTACTCACAACCTGAGTGCCTGACTACAGGATCATTTTATCCTCATACCCATACCACCTAAGCCCCAATTTCCACTCCCAAGACAGCAAAGTCACATATTCTTGTCTCCTAACGAGATTAAGGTTCTAGTAGGTTAACTTTGCCCCATTTCTCGAATCATCGCAGTCAAAGACATAATCCAGTGCATCAAGCACAGCCTCTATCATCTTTACAAGTCCATACGAGGTCCACCTGCAGATCCACAGAGCCCTCCGGAAACACAAGCCAGGCAATCCCAAAATCTATGAACAAGAGCATGTGCAGTCATCACCTCCCTTTGTCAAAACAAGTCCAATCACATCCTGTAAGCTGATAAGGGCAGCACCGCAGACTTAAACTGCAGGGAGTGCGCTATCCTTGACTTGGGTTCCCACTATCCCCTTTGCAAGGACCTCACATCATCCATCAAAAGAGACTCCAAGGCAAATTCTTCATCCTCCAGGGGTCTGGTAACATCTTCCAGTACAGGCAGCTCCCACCCACACCTCAAAATGCCCAATCTTCTTCAGACAACCGATGATGAACGAGCCGGATGTTCCACTGCGCCCCATCATGGCCTCATAGGGGGAACACACGTACAAGACAGCCAGACACCTCACATAAATGCTTCATCCCCTAATTAGCAACACCAAACACCAAATCAGGAATTCTTAGAGTTTGCCATCTTCACCTCAGACCTCACCCTCAAGCCAAACTACGTCATAGTAATCAGCTATCGAGTCATTTCTCTCTTTACCAATACACTCAGCGCCAACTGACCTGTGGCATCATCAAAGAGAGGCTTTAACTTGACCCCACACACAAGGACTCCACTGACGCCCCATATTGTATTCAGCTTACCCTGTGTCTTGAATAATCTAGCTCCATGTGATGTCCTACATGTATATCATTAGTTCTGGCCGATATAGTACCAGAAAAATTTGAGCAGACGACCATAACCACGGCAGAACACAGACAACATGTTTGGCTTCTTCATCATCAAGTGATGACACCTTCACCATCTGGCAGCATGGGTAAGATTAATATACGCCTCCTCTACTGCCAAAGGTTCTCCTATAAATAAAAGGCCCATTGTTTAAGACAACTATACAGTTCCATCACCCCCTTCGAGAGAATTAGAGTTGTATTTCCAATACATTAGACGCATCCTGTACAAGCATGGCATCCAAGTTTTCATACAGAACCCCTGAAAATCCACAAACTGCGGCAATCTCACAAGAACCAGCAAGACCAAACGTTCAGACTAAGAGTCTTCAGAATTTCATGCCAATGTAACAAAGTGTACATCGACGAGGCTGGTAGTGATCTCCCCAGTTCTACTTCTAAGACCATCAAAAAGTCGTGTGATCTCCAACCTTCCCAATCGGCTGCAAGAGACCAACAGTTGCCTGGAGATAGTGAACAGTATGAGCTACCTGCTATACATCCAGGTAAAGCGAGGACAACCACTGGGTCTATTCCAGAAAATAATACCCCAAGATATTGGTATGTCCATCAGTGACATCTGGCACCTTATCCTCCTCCACACAGTAGGCCTACAATTGTCACCTACATGTACATGTGTACGCAAGGCAAAGCTTAGTTCCCATGCCTTGTATGGGTCTCCTATGCCCTTGACAACCTACTTCAGGACTTCCTTCCGCTACACCGACATCCCACTGATCAGCTTCATGTAGCATCCTCTGCCAAAGTCATCCTACATAACAGCTCTTTGGGTGTTGGAATCCCTCTGTCTTCTAACGAAGTACCCAACCCTGGTACCCCATCCTCTCCAGATTATCGAATGGGTCACATACACGTACGTAAAGCTTAGTTCCCACACCTTAGTCAGTCTATGGGTCTCATATACCCTTGACAACCTTTTTCACAACTTTCTTCCACCACTCCGACACCCCAATGCTCAGCTACATGTAGCATCTACTGCTTCCGTCATCCTACATAACAAATTTTTGGGTGTTGGAATCCCTCTGTCTCCTGACGAATAGTAGAGCATACTGTCCCAAACCTTGAGTTCCTCCTGGTTCTTTTCTGACCCTCACAAACTAAAAAAGAGATTTAGTTTCTCTCTGAGCAGCATTAACCTTATTCTTTTGAAGAAGGAAAAAAAATGAACCACATTGTTTAAAAAAGTGTAACCATGCAAATGTACATGTACAATTGATCCACGGTGTTTGCTCGTCTGTTTTGGAACACCACTCTCTCTTAGTAGTCTCCATCAGGAGATAAATGTAAACAGTTGCTCACCTTAGTGGGACAATAATTATTTGATAGTTACATGTGTTTATGTTGATTATACCTCTCATATTGTTATCCCTGTGCTAATCCCCATCTATGTGTTTAGATTAGTAACACTACATTGTATAACTATAAGTACTTGATAACAAAATCCTCAATAAATTAAGTAATTTCATTATTTTAGCCAAATGTGGCCACAAGAATGGATCCAATACGTGAGAGTGGACCGCATCCACGTTTCTATTTAGTATTTTTCTTCGATTTAACTGCCACTAAGACTGCAATATCATTTAATCTCTACTTATTGAAAAAAGAATATATATAATTATATTCATCCGGGTATAGCGCCCTCTATAGTCGGTTTCCATGACATTTTATATATATATGAACATATACCATGTCAAGTTTTACCAAGATTGGAAAAAGTACGTTGTTGTATCTGGATGTTGACTTACCACCTCCCAACCAAACGCAAAAAATACCAGAGCCTGGATTCAGCAGGACAGTGTTTAACTCATTCAAATGTTATTAAATTTTCAATTTGCCAAGACCTAACTCTCAAATTAGTTCAACAGTAGTTGGATAAACATTTTTTTTTTTTTTTTTTTTTTTTTAGGATTTGGTGGCTTTTAACATGAACAGTCAACTGCAATGACTAAAGATGAAGAAATTTTCGGATAATTTTCAAAATAAATTAGTGTATATATTTTGTTTGACTGTAGTGCCCTCTACAGTTGGTTTCCATGACAACCAAAGATATATTTGAAAGAGCTACTATAAAGATTATTTGTGCTAAGTTTGATTAAGATCGGTCAAGTCTGCTCAGTTTATGGCGTTTTGTTTCTTACCCTTCCAACCCTAGTGCTAAGAAAATGCATCCAAGCTCAATCAGAGGCAGTTACAATATAAGTGGGCTCCTGAGAGAGAGCATCCCTAAATTTTCACTGTTCAATTTTTTTTCCTATTGGAGACATGCCAAGGATACAAAAATATTGGTGGCGGTGGTTTCGGGGGGGGGGGGGGGGGGGGGAATGGGACCCCCCATAGCCCACAGACTATTTCCAAAATGTTTTGTCAGATGCCTTTGGTAGGTTTGTCTGTTTGGCAATATTACTACACTTAGAATGGGCTTCACTTCTGCTTTCCTTCTCATGATGGAAGCTCTTGCCTGTCTGGGAAGAGGCACTGTGGTTTTTATCCTGGCCTACAACCTGCTTGATAGGTTGCGTAGACTGGCTAGGATGCCCCCCCCCCCCCCCCCCCCCCCCCCCCCCCCCCCCCCCCCGTTTGGGATTAACTGCGATGAGCTTTTTGCACAATTGGATCTTACTTGGTCTAGTGACATTCTTGAAGCCTGACTTCCAACATATTGAACCGGTAGCACCACTGCTTGAATCTGCTGAACAACTCCTCTGTCTTGAAGTTCGGTCCAGAGGTTGTTTCTGTAAAATCTGTCCATTAAGTTCCATCTTGCACCCCCACTCTTGCATGAACCCTTTTACATGAGTTGTAGTGGTAGTTAAAGCAGATCCTAGGGTTGCTAATCTTTCATGAGATCTCCTGGCTATTGCCCCAGTGCCAGCAGTCTTTCCCTGCTGTCCACTATCATCTAAGTCTAATGCATGGGCAAGGGGCTTTGCTTTCCTGGATTCTGCTTGGGACCTAAGCGGCCTCAGATGTATATTTTTTCAAGGGTCAAATATCATGCCTGTATTAAAAAGTAGCCAAATGATACCAGGAGACTTTGCGATGTGAAGGTTGGCTAGCTGGCAAGTAAGCTGGATGATTTGTTAAAGGGCAAATTGGCCAGGGCGAGTAGAAAAGTGGGGAGTTTGTCAGTGGGTGAGCTGACCAGCACTCATTTTGAGCTGCTGTACCTTACCATCTTTTTAACGGGATATGTGACAGACATAGAGTTGACTCTGGATCTAGTTGATAACTCAGTGCCCTAAAAAAAATCAGTGTGTTTATGTTTCAAAACATTTACAACATCAAAAGTTTGATTTTGGTTTATAGTGTAAGAGTAGGGATCACAAAAATGTTGAGCAAAAAAAAATCTAAGCCGATGGTAATGGGTTTTTATTCTGATATGACTCATGAAGGAAAAGAAATTCTGTACACCTAGTTGAGATATTCAAAACTTTTAAATTAAAATAAAAGGAACTAAAGCTGTACTGTATGTGCCCTCGGCACCATCGCCAGCTCCAGGGGCATTAAGGGGCCACAGTACCAGCTTGGGGGCACACCACAAAAACATAAAATTCCCTTCTAGATAATTGTTACACTTAAGGCTTTTGTTGAATAGTGATGGGCCCGTGTACCCTGCAGCAAGTCAAGTTTTTTTGTTTCTCTTAACAAACTGCATTCCTTGAGTGTTGTATTTTAACCAAAGAAAGGCACTTTTTTGTCTTTATTTGGCATCTACAACTCTTTTAAAACTATGTCAGTTGAATTACTTTTGCAACAAACCTATCCTGCAGTAGACCTGTTTCACATTATCACAATTATTATTTTGTCACTAAATACAGGCCAGTTTTCCTTTTGGTTGAGATTTCATTCAAACCTAATTTACTATTTAAAATTGCCATCACTTTTGAGAGTGAAAGTTAAAAATAGCAGTGACAGAAACTCTTTAACAATCTTTGTTCTGCATCATGAAAAAAAAATAACTATGTATATCCTTGCAGGATGTCTGTGAGCTGGAAAAGCTTGAAGCACTGCCAAACCTCATCGAGCTGTCTGTTATCAGCAATCCCGTAAGTATAAATAATATTGACGATTGCATGTAGGTGGGAAGCATCTTGTAATCATTGAAACAGGTTGCCCAATATATTTGTCTCAAATACTGGACTCTTCCATACTTTGAGCCACACAGCTACATTTTAAGAAAGATTGTGTTTCGAGAATTAGAAATCCAGACCTTTTCAATTTTAATTTGTTTCATTTTGTTGGGTTTTATTTATTTAATTTTGTTTGCTTGATATTTATTATTGAAGTAGTGTAAATAACCAGGACAATTCAAATTTTGTACCTCTAGAATTCTAGTTATCCAGTAGTTTTGGGGCTTACTGTGGAGAGATTTTGTCTGAAAATGATTGCAGGGTTATTCTTGAGGTCACTGGTCATGCACCTTTGACCTTTTGATTTACCCTGGTTGTTGACACTGATCTCTATATAAAGACTGGATACCAGATGCACCAGTCACACAGTTCAATTTGCATTTAGACCAGTTCACCCAGATCTTCCAAAAATGGCAGCTTATAGGTCCTAGCTTGCACTGTATCAACACGTTTTATGATGTTCTAAAATAGACTGTGGCATTTAAAGTAAACCTAGATGATTGAATAGTTGTGAAGTGACCATGGTCACTGGTGGTGGACAAAAGGTACATTTATTTTATTTATCATTTTACAAGTATTTTACCAGGATAGCCCCATCAGTTATCTAAGAACTGTTCTCCATGGGAGCCCTGGATTAAAACATTAAAACAATACAAATTACAGGACATTCAAAACTAGTTACATGTACTTAATAAAAAATACATATATTTATTTTAAAGTAAATATTAGAAGATACTGAACATACACAAAGTGAAAATTACATATGACAAGCAAAGATATGAATTCCAATTACAGATTGTTAAAAAAAGACATCAGAAAGAAATATATACATGTATGCGAAGTACCGTAGGTCCCCATAAAACAATAAAACGAGAGACACGTAAATCAGGTGAACCACGATGTTACAAAGTGAATCATAACTGTCTATAAAGACGGCAACTTGTCCTTTTTAGATCACCAACCGTTTTTCTTCCAGTATGGCTTCAAATGGCTTTCTCCTGTGGCTGTCTGTATGCTATCCAGTCTTTATATAGAGATCAGTGGTTGTTAATCATTAAGTAGCTTCCATGGTGCATATCAAGTGAAAACAAAGTTTAGATTTTGTATTCAGTAAACACAACTTTTCTGGAAACTGTCTCAAAATTTGGAACAGGTACAGTATTTGAGACACATTTAGGGGTAATGGTATGTAGGCCAATACATTTTGAAGGTTATATGACACTGCTGGGCCCCAAAATATTCCAAGAGAAAACATTTTTTTGAAGGGCTGGGATCAGACTGGAGGGGCTATTCTACTATGATTTTGATAAAAATATTGTGTGACAGATTTGTATCTCTCTCTCCCTCCAATCTTCAGTTTAATTCTTAGATAGCATACATGTAGCATGTGGAAAATTTAGAAAAATAGTAAGTAAAGGAGAGGTCTATGTCTGTTTGCAACAGAATATAGGGTTTTTTTTAGTAAGGGGTATTCTAGAAATTAGTGAACAACGTCCAGCAGATCAGGTCAGGAATATTAGGAAGAATCAGTGGTTGACCGCTGTGGAAATTTAGGAAATCAAGAGGGAGATTGCTCAGGTTGGGAATTTCCGAGGAAGTGTTGAGGATGGGGCCAATATTTCAATTGATGAGGTTGGATCTGGTAGTAATGGTCCAAGAAATGATGGGATGGATAGTCTCCGGGGTACAGGTGGTAGTTTGGAAGCTGGCATCAGGGATGTGGCTGCTGCACACGAGGGCGGAGGTCGATCGGATGAGGGGGTGCCAAGAGGAGCGGATCATGATACAGACTTAACAAAAGAGGAGGAAAGAATGCTGATGAGAATTGAAGAGATAATGTCACGAACAGCTAAAGAAAGCATCCCTGCACTGTGTCGTGTTGCCAGGACGAGTAATATACCTGAGCTTAACAGTCTCGTTTATGCAGGTGCAATCGTTGTGAAGGAAGAAGTGGGATTCAAGCGAGCTGTCAAAGGCAACAGGGAAGTGACACCTTGGTGGAAGCGTCAGCTCGAGGGACAGATCAAGGACCTCCAAAGGGATCTGAGTAGAATTGAGCAGTTGGACAGAGACGCTTTGAGGAAGTCTGACATGAGGGATAGACTAATGGCTAAAAAAACGGGTGCGGGTTAAGAGTATAACAGTCGTCAAGGAGGAAATCAGATTACGAGGATTACAGCAGATTACGGCAAAGGCGACAAAGATGAAGAGATACGATGACATGATTCGGCAGTTTCGTCAGAATAGTCTGTTTAGGTCAAACCAGAGACAGATATTCAGGGAACTGGATGGTAAGGATGACGATTCTCAGGAAGTCCCAAGGGCAGCTGAGGCAAAGACTTTCTGGGGTGGCACTTTGAACAAGCCAGTGCAGCACAACAACCAGGCAGAGTGGCTGCAAGAAGTGAGAGAAGAACTGTATTCCTAGGCAGGAGGAGGTAGAGATCACTCTGGATGAAGTCAAGAGGCGTTTGAGGAAAGTGTCAAATTGGAAAGCCCGGGAGTTGATCATGTTCATGGATACCGGCTGAAGAATTTCAGCAGTATACAGGGTAGATTTGCAGGGCATTTACAGAAGTATCTCTTGCTTTGGAATCTACCAAGGTGGATGATTGAGGGGAGGACTGTTCTGCTCATGAAGGACGTTGTAGTGGTATGCGATTAGCCTCTGTCGATGGTGGTGCTGTTCAAAACCTACGATTATGCACAATATATGGTGCTTTTAATCTGCAGCATTCAAAAAAAGGCACCAGTAACGGCCAATGGAACAAAACGGGGAAATTTTTCGGGAAAAGGGCACTTTTTCGGGAAAAAGGGCAGTTTTTAGGGAAAAAGGGCACTTGTTAAAAGAAATAAGGCACAAATGCTACTATTATACCCACAAATTGCGCGCATTAACCTTGTCTCTCGATATCATCAAGTAGTTTCGCCAAACCTCAGTATTGATGATCTTTAAATTCACCAAGCTGCTTACTGGCACAGTTGCCCCATTTTAACCTTATGGAAAATCATGTGAATAATTATAACATTGTGATATTTAACTCAGCTAACAAAATGGGGAGAAATGAGCTGGCTGTCTGTAAACTGGGCTTAAATTAGGCGAAAGGGTCGGCTTACGTGGGAGACTTGAATAAGTTCAAGGAAATCCCCCCCCCCCCAAAAAAAAAAAATTGCTTGCAAAAATTATGTCAATGTCAAAATGTTTTCTTTCCATTAATTTTCTTTCCAATGATTTTGAGAATTTCCTTGAACTTGTTCAAGTCTCCCACATTAGGCAGCCTTTTACTAATTAGGCCAATTAACAGACACCAACGATTTTACCTGTGTTTGTTTGCTGGGCTAAATATCACAAAGTTATCATTGTTCACAGGATTTTCCATAAGGTTTTAATAGAGCCACAGTGCCAGTAACTTGGTGAATTTGAGAAGCTCATCAATACTGAGGTTTGGCAGGACTACTTGAAGATATCTGGAGGCAAGGTAAATGCGCGCAACTTTTGGGTATAAAAGTAGCTATTTTGGATCATTACAATGTCCTCATAATTACTCAGTCACTTTATATGCTTTAGAAAATGTTATTGGAGTAAGGATGAGTAAGTAGAATCACCACAATAAAATTAAAGAAAAAATAAAAAGATAAAAAATACACCCATATATGGGGGAAAAATGTATTACACTACAGGTATTTTAAAATTGAATATATTTAGGGTCAAAATTCGATGGCATCCCCACATCTTGTTTGTTATGGTTCAAAGAATGGATCTACATGTAGCATGGATGCCAGCTATTACCAAAAAATGCCATGAAATTATTTTCTGGAGTGTATTTTTCATTTGGCTGGCCTACTTGATGGCTGATCAGCGATCTTCTTGGCCCTAAGAAACCCAATGAGGCTACTTACCAAGAACTAGTGGATAGGCTAGAGAAACATTTCAAGCCTACAAAATCCGGCATCATCACTCGCTTTTTAATCAGCCAATATCGACTGTCTGGTGAACCAATTGCCAAATATTTAGCAGCACTGCGAGCACTTGCCAGTGACAATAACTATGGCTCCAATGTTGATGAGATGCTGAGAGACCGGCTTGTTTGTGGTGAGCAGGATGAACAGATCCAGATATTCCTGCGCGCTCAACCAGAGGACAAACTCGACCTCAAGTGCAAAGAGGAACTCGCACAATCAATGGAGCTCTCAGGTAAACACGCCAAAATGTTGACAACCTCCTCCAGTGCCAGTGCAGAAACAAGTACCAGCATCAACACTTTCAAGAAGAAACAAGCTCAACGCTCCAACAAGCCAAATCAATGGCAGAAATCTGCACGCAGTAGGCCTCAGCAGCAGCCACGGCCCAGAAAGCCTTGTGGAAATTACGGAACTTTCCACAAGAGGCTTGAATGTCCTGCTTGTGGCAAGACATGCCACGAGTGCAACAAAAAGAACCACTACGCTGATTACTGCAGAAGCATCCGCTTCTACACAGTCAACCCCGATCAATACTCGGATGATGACGACCCTGTTGTGGAGGAGAATTATTCCACATTCGAGCCATAGAAGACACCAACCTGAACTGGAAGCATGACATTCTTGAGCTTGAGCTCTGCCGTGGGACGATTTTGAGGAACATGAGAGCTTGAGAACCTGGTCTGCTGCTTGGGTAGGCACCCTACGCACCGCCCGTCGGAGAGTAGGTGGAGGTACACGTCAAACTTCAGTAAAAGGAAAGGACAGTGGCTTCCCTGCCAGCCATCCGTAGGGTGGAATAACAGTAATCCCTGTAATGCAATTTGCATAAGTGCATTCTAATAAACATACACTTTTGGGCCAGCATTTCAGTCAAAATAAACAGATTATAAGTTGTTAAAGTATTGCAACTTCACACAATGGACACAGTTTTCACTTTAAATGCACAGGTTTCC